GAGGATCAAAGAACATGACAGGGATATACGACTCGCCCGTACCCAGACCTCTGCCGTTTCTGAACACACCTGCGAGACCGGCCACTATGCTATCTGGAATGATGTCAAGTTTATTGATCGAGATCCTCACTGGTACACACGTAGGGTCAAGAAAGCTATTCACATAAGACTTCACCCTAGTAACATCAACAGGGATAGTGGAATGGAAATTCCTGAAGCATGGATGCCACGATCAAAAAACACAACAACAGGAGAATGGCACAACAACAGACCGCTGAGGGAACAGCTACTTGCCGGAACAATGGAACAATAGGAGGATTGAAATGCACCAATCACAGCCGACCTTTCTGATATAAATGATACTGTGCATTAAGTCGACCTTATTGCTTGAAGAAGACTAGCAGTAAGCAGTCGAAATGTCGTGATCTACATCTGGAGTGACTACATTGTGAGACAAACGATAATACACTTTATTTTATCTTTATATTATGTTATTTAGACAGGACCCCTTTGATAACAGTACTCTTGCACTGAAGGGCTATCCTGTATAAATATTCATTGTTATTATTATTATTATTATTATTATTATTATTGTTATTATTATTGTTATCAGACAAGAAGCCATATGTTATATATAATAATTATGTATAACGTCTCACATGAGGATCACCAATAACTTTATGAATGTTTTCAACGGTGTTACATCTCCTCATGTATTCTCTTATTGTTGTGGTTTTGCCAGTGGGCTTTGACTTTAACTTAACCTATGGATTAAAACCTCAAGTCAGTGGCCTTAAAATTGTCACTGTTTACAGACGATCCATTTTCCAAGTAGAGTGGGTCATAGCCATAAAACGAGGATCAGTAACTTACACTACAGACTGAGAAAATGAGGTTAGTAAGATATTTATTATATCTCTACTGTGTGTCTGATGGGTTTGGGAATGATTTCTATTCACGCAGAATGGTTTCAAATTTCTGATGCACCTCGAAAGCAAAACGCGTCAATTTGAAATTGTTGTTAAGTTACTCTTACATTGTTGACAGGTTTGATACACAATTTCAGAAGTAAAAGAAAGTTTGAAACTTTAACTTACTAAACAAGTTAAGAACACTTGGTGATAAATCATGAAACATTTTGGCAACAAAAACAGCTTTAAAATTTTAGCAGGCCGTACAGGACAATATGGCCTGCTAAACTGACCAGTCACAGCGTGCCTACTAACTGAGAGATATAATAAAAAAAATTAACCTATTGACTCCTGTGCTGCCCATAACCGGCTGTGAGGAGCCTTGGCCTTTGTTCCACTTCTGACGTCATCACCACTGACCAAAATTGGCATCATCTATACTCAACTTCTGCAGGAGGAAAAGATCTTTCCAATGATACCCAGATCAGAGTGATTAGCTCAATGGAGCCTGAAATATGCATGAAAATGCTCAGAAATTTGAGTGGAAAACTCAGGGTAAAATTTCCTGCGAATACACCTGGCTGCTCCATGGTAAAAATTTCCCGTCTTGATGATGCCTTCTCAGAATTTTTTGAACTGGAAGAAAGCCCAGTAAAAGGTCAATCACTGCAGCAAAAAGATAAGAAAAAGAAAAAAGGAAAGGCAAAATAAATTTAAAAAATCCCCAAAAGCCTAAAGATGTTGGTCACTCTCTCATCCAAAAAATATCTCAAAATTTTGATTTCTGCGCATGCCCTAGCAAAAAATGTTGTAAAAATGTGATGCTAGTGGAAAGAAAGGCATGCTTTCATGTTGCAAATGTATTTTTGAGGAGATTGGAGCTAATTTGGCCCATATCCAGCCTGAAAATCTCCAAAATGTCCAAAAAATGCATTTTTGGCAAAAAGCTCTGGGATTTGACTTTCACTTGCATGCCTGTCATTTAAAAAAGTTGAACTGATTTTGAATGATTTTTGAATGATTTTTGAACTGGCATATGTAAGAAAATTTAGTGGTGAACAGTAAAAACAGCAGAGTGTTTGGGTGCTTACCATTTTTGAGTTATTTTTTGTAAAAAAAAATACCTCTTAGTCGGCGCGTCGGGTATGTTATGGACGGGTCAATGGGTGAGTGAGTGAGTGAGTGAGTGAATGAGT